CGGATGCACTTCACCATCCGAACGGCAGCAATCTCATCCCAATAATGATTCGTCTGTTACGCAGGAAATATCTGACTCATCTGCTTCGGAAATTGAAATTTCCAATGGTTCCGAACACGCCGGTTGTACAACAGCGAACACGACCGTATTTCTTACGCAACACAGAGGTCTGACATTCAATTATAAACATTCAATTATACACGCAAGCAATAAATGCTGTTTTTTAAAGCGTTTCATCGCTCATTGCTAAATCGCTTTCTCTCGTTTCAGTTCGCAGTGCCGAAGTTTTGAATGATTTTGGTTCTTGGTGTCAGGAGGTTACCAGCCCTAGTAACCGAAGAGCAGGTCAACTGGGCGGACATCGCGTGCGGGCTACGGTCCAAACGAACGCAAGTCCTGATTGGTCAGAATACCATCCAATCTCGATCGAGAAACTTCAGCTCCGCACAACTCGCTGCATCACGGAGAACCTAACGCGACCTTGTGGAGCATTCTGCGCATAGTCTATAAATTTGGCTGTAATAATCTTCCTTTGTCTCCAAAAAGTGCTGTTTGAAACTACCGCACCTTTCGAACCACCATGGTGGGCGGAGAAGGAAGCCAAGGACTGATGGCGTTGCACATTTCACGGATTCACGGATCGATACACAGGATCGAGGCTTTTGCCCAAGCTTCCGGGTCGGCTTTGTTCTTGTCGGTCAGTGGCTGTCGTTGACCTGAAAGGCACACGTGAAAAAAGGGTGTAGGCTGCTCTTTATGTTCTCAGCCCTGGGCAGTACGCTTGCCAGCGCAAGGATTCGCATAATTAAATGTCTGATAGTGCTTTAAACTGGGTTCTAGAAGGAGAGTGGACAACCGTCGGAGAAAGTTTATTCCACGTAGCTGCTACCCGAAATGATAAAAAATTTGTCTAATGATTGTGTGTGCCCTGAGCTTGAAAATTTTCTTACTAAGAATTAGGTCCCCTCGGAGGCGACGGTACTCCAGGGGAAAGAGATCAAGCATCGCGGGACGCGTTTCGTAGTCCATGGATTTGAGTCCGGCAACCATTCTCGTAGCGGCCCGCTGGGCACGCTCAATGAGGGTGACGTCTTTCGTGCGTCCTGAATAGACAACTTGTTGACGTACTCCAGGAGCGGTCTGACTTAGGCCCCATAGAGTATTTGGATGTCCATGCGAGTAATACGGGAAAAGGTGCGTCGGATCATCCGTAAAATGGCGAATGCCTTTTGGGCCGATTTCTCCTGGGGTGGTGAGAAAGTCAAATTTGAGGAGACACAGATGCCCAAACCCTTTTTGGCATCTATCCTCACGATGTTTTCTGGTCCCTTTTCACCACGCATAACAAAGGCGTTCGCTGAATCCCCTCCAAACGACATATGGACGCACTTTTCGTCATTCAGAGGAAGGTGCCAGTCCAACGGCCACTGCTTGGCAGAGTCTACGTCCATTTGGAGGACACTGGGATTGGAA